CTTATTTAAGTTGCTGGACACTTGATGCTTCCTGGCTTTTCGGTGAGTGCATTGGGCTGTGTTAGGGCCACAGCAATCCATGGAAGAAGCTGGAGGCCCCCAGCTTCTGAAATGAGTATTTTAACTTAAACTAGGATATTGCTGATATGTCAGTTTTATCAAACTTATTCTCTGGAGCATGTCTTGAAATCTGTAATACTTCTTTTGAATAAACCATTGATTAATGTCTCTTTGCACAAAGCCGTTGTACCTTTCTACTTGCTTGGTTAGTAAGTTAATCAGGATGAAGCCCATATTCTTTGCTACTACCTAAAAGTTAGCCTCTGACAGAGATTTAAGGGATGTTTCATCCAATTAAATGGGCATGATTGAACCTGCTGTTTTCAGTCTTTGAGCTTAGTTCTGAATTAAAGTGCAACTGAAAAATATATACAAAAACTGAAACCGTAAGGGCTTTGCAACATCTCGCTTTAAAGAAGTTTCATTATTATTGTAAACAGAACAACCTGGTAGAAGTATTTTTTACTTCTCTTTTTAGATTCCTTTATTAAAGGATTTATGATGCTGAAGTCAAAATCATTTCTCTCTGAAAATAAAACAGCCAAATATTAAGGCTGATTCTTTCAAGTCCACTGTGTGAACTTTACTACCTCCCTACTTAATGTTAGCTAACTCATAACTGAATTAGATATCCTAAATCATTCATCAAGCTTGAGTTATCCCTATAGGTGGAAAAAGGAAACATCAAAATCATAGAGAGACATTAAGCAAAATACTTTTCCAATTAATAAGATGTTCAGGAAATGTTACCAGTACTGTAAGTCAGTTTTATTTAAAAAATAGAGTCCAAACATTGTTTTTTATAAGGTATAACATATAGACTGTTTTCTACAATTAAAAAAACAAACAAGCAAACAAAGCAAAATATTCATATTTATAGTGTCATTCCAACACAGAATCAGTGAGTCTCCTGTAATTCTTAAACATTCTTTCCCTGCTTCATCAAAGCATAAGAACTAATAATTGGTGTCACTGTGACAGCCAAAGGGTCTGGCTAACATCACCCATGTTCTGTACTTTAATAATAAGCTTTCTAGTACAGATTGCTTCAAGTACACATCGGAAGCTGAATGTAACTGTAACACAGTTCATGCAAAACAAAGGTACAATACTGAACTTGCATCATTTAAAGATTTTTCTGTTCTCTTTAGTTTGACATCTTTGAAGTCCAACTGCTTGAACACGAGGATTGAACTGGGTTGCATAAAGTGAGTACTATATACTGAAGTACTTACGTAATGCTTAGATTGATCAGCCTACGTGACTATCTTGAGCTCTAAAAATTCAAATAAATACTTAAGGCTGAGATCTCTGCCACTTGGAGTCTATTCAGTAACTTCTGAGACATATTTGGGAATACAGATGGAAAACAGTGACTGATAATGGGCTTGTTATGGGGAAATACATTAAATCATTACATCAGAACTGTATTTTTTGAGAAAAGCATGTTCTTAATTTATGTTACGAGTGTTCCCCATTCAGCCACACAAGCTAAAAGACCAGTGAAGACTGTAGCAAGGAGGAAGTTCAACAGAAACTTACAGCCAATTACTGCCTCAGGGAGTGTGTATCTGAAGTACTAAGTTTTCTAATTAGCAAAGTCTGTCCAATTTCAAAGCCCTTCTTGTCATTCTAGCATCACCTCAGCTTTGATAATGCCAAGCAGTTGAAGTTAGCTGTGGCTATGACATTTCTGGAGAGCTAGAGAGCAGTACGTGCTCTAAGGGGTTTTAGCATGTTTTAAACAAGGAGCAGCAGTCTAACCACCCACGTAGAGTTACACATCCAAAGCTTTTTTTCCTTGACTCCTTAGATATTTAAACCATTCCATCTAAAGAGGAATGTGTTTGATAGAAATGAGCTGGATCCACATTTACCTGTCTTCTTCTTGGGGGGTAGTCCCAGGGTCAAGCTGCACCTGCAATGAGTGCATAAATCGCAGTTTCTTCTGTTGTTGTCTCTTACAAACCACCATGCTGGTTTTATGGATCCTGTTCTTAAGCCCTGAGGGCTCTTCATATGCAGTCTAATAAGATAAGGTGACAAGCTATCACAGGGCTGACTGTTGGTTTTAGTAGATCAGGCCTCTGGGTATTAATAGGAATTAGGCACAAAAGTTTATGCCTATGCGTAGCCACAGACTGAGTTTAAGCTGATAACCCAAGTCAATACTCACATGAGTTTGTATTCACAGCCAGTTTAACCTCAATTAGGTGGCTCTGTCTCTTTTTCTCAAGACATGACAATTTTTTCTGCATTGATACACTATCTTGGTTCCTGTTAGCAAATGCTCTTTGCATTTGCTATCAATGCTCTTCAGAGTTAGCTCTGTCATTCTAATGCAACATGGACTGAAATTTCCTTGGCTAACAGAGGACTTTATAACTTTTCTTTTCCCTGACATACATGAAGTCTTGAGTTTTATTTCAAATAGCAGATAAATTAGCTTCTCAATTTATTTCTCTTAGTTTATAAGCAAAAGGGGTATTTTAGAGTTCAAGTGGGGAGGGTACACATATTTGTTTCCTATTTAAACATAAAGGAAGATGGAGAAAGTGTTCATCAAACACATGTATTAACATTAAGAGCTATAAAGTGAAAAGTAGAACACAGTCCTTCAGTTTTAATTTCAGAACAAGATTGCCCTCAAAAGTCAGCCTATTTATCTTAGTCCAAATCCCTTAGATTCTAGTTTTGGGTAGGAACTGACATTCGTACTAAGCCCTTTTGGGGTTTAGTTGTGGGAATGCACATGATGGCATCTCTGTTCGTATCAGGGAATCCAACGTTTATGAGTTTAGTTGTTGACTTGGTTGGATTTTTATAAGTTTAGCTGATGATAGCTTCACAGAAAAACATAACAATATTATGTTCTATATCTTATTTTCAGAAGGAAAGGGTTGCTCAGTTCTGTAGTTTACATAGTTTTAACAATATCCCTTTAATAATACATTGTACTGCAGATGTTCAGTTAACAAAAAGTATACACTGAAATATTTATGGGCTTTGGCTAGAGCTACATATATTTATGTTAGTCTGTTGCAAACACTATTGTTAAATGGAGTATTTACCAGATTAAAATTATCCCTTTACTTCCCTTTCTTTTACTTAAACAATTTGGGACATACTTTGTGTGAATGCAGTGGGACACATGCCAGAAGGAAGCAGGGTCACTGCAGATAAGAGGAGGAATTTGTGACATGTAACTTCAGGCATCTAACTTAGGGTGCACCTGGCTAGTTGTGTCAGTTCAGGGACACAATAATCATGCACACTACAAGTAGGATCAACAGTCTGGCTTTTGTCTGGAGTAAGCAACAAGCTCTTCTGGCATGAAAGGACTCACCTCATTTCTGTTCATGAAGACCATCTTAGATGCAATGGACTTGAGCTACTGCTTTGAACAAAAATACCAGAGGTCTTAAATGCCTAAATGAAGGGTCCAGACTCTTGGAGGGTCTAAAGGGAAGTCAGGGCATCTAAGTTAGGATGCAACCTCTCTCCAATGTTTAACCTTATAGTTATAAAGAAAACACTAGTCAGTGTGGATTATGTGTTATTGAGAGTAGAATTTGGTTTTCTGTTACTGATAGCAATAAAGTGCTTCTATATTAACACAGACAGTGTTGATTCTGTGCATCTCATATAGGACCAGAATGAGGGTTTAGCAAAGTTTTGCATTTTTACCCGAGTGACTTGGAAGTCCCTACTGGGGGCTGTTAAATCTTGTGTTCTTGCTGCAAACAGATCAGCAGATAAAATAAACAGATTTAATTAAAGTTTTGCTATCGTTGTTTGTATTCTTAGTCCCTTTGATCTTATCCAGCCACAGTATTGTGGGGCTGGATTCCATAGTCCTATGCCTGGCAGATGCATGAAGAGTAGATGTGCTACAGAATATTTGTCTGTGACTGTTACATTAACTTCAGCAGTTTCATGGCAGGTGCAGACAAATGCCAAGAAATAGCAATGATGAACTAAATGGAGAATCAGGAATCAATGAGAACTTCATTAGTTTGTGAAAAATGATGATGTACTACACAAGGGGAGACACGTGAGTGATTCAGTCTCTTGTCAATAACATTGATGAGAGCTGGATACCAGTCTCCCTTTAGTGCCTTTAAAATTCCTCTATAGGCTTCTCTGTTTTTTCCTGTTGTTACAACAAACCACATAATACTAAATATTACAGTACCTGTATGCAAAATTGCATAGAGAAATAATACATCCTTACAAATAAGTCACATTTCAATATCAATAAAGGGAAGCAGAATGACAGAAATTATAAACTGTATAAAATTCAAAGGACTAAAGCAGGGAGCAGGGGACACTACATTTTGAAGTGAGTTGAAGTGTGTTCTTGCTCCTTTAACTCCAGTCCTGAGTCACTTAACTTTTACAAAAATAAATGAAGATGACAAAATTTTTCACTTTAAAATACGATGATTTTTTTCCTTCATGAAAATGGTATAAGTAGCAAATAAATATCCATTATTTCAGTAACAAAAACTGATGTTACTCATATACATTCTCTAGTTTGGAACACAAATTTTTCTGCCTGTTAACAGCTAATACATAAACAGTGCCTGCTAGTCTTCACACCTACCTCAAGAGCAACTGTGAATGTTGATGCATCCCACTGGCACTCCTGGCTCTGTCTCTAAGCGCTACATCACTTAATACCCACCAATGCTCCAATTAAGCTGTTGGAAATCTCATTAAGGAAACACAGCTTGATGTCTGCAGCTGCTCAGAGCTTCTACACTGCCTTCCTCAATAAGTAAGTGCCATCCTGCATCCACTCCCTCTGTCAGAGGCATATTGGGCCATTCCTTGTACATGTTACATTTTCTCTTTAAACAAAATGAAACACCAAACATAGCCTTTGTGTTAATCTAGAAGGGATTCCTTTGGGGTTACTGTCTTCTTCCTTTACCAGTCTAGTTAAACATGATAGATTCAGGGTCCTGGTTTGCCATTTGAGCCATATGTCTTAATACATCCTTTTTAGTTATGATACCCAGAAGCCTCCTAGAGGAGAAAAGGAAAGGTCAGGTCAACAATCATGTCATTTATCATCTGGTTTTTTTTCCCCTGTTCAGCTGCAGGGACATTTTGTGAGTGCTGCCATATGGTACTGTCCACTTCATCCATTCCCCAATGATTACCTTCATAAAAAGCATTCTCACCTCGTGTATTTTTACTACCACAGCCATGTTCATTAAGTGAATTACTTTGGGTTGTTACCTCCTTTACTTGGGAAGATGACTGATGGAGGAGCTACAACTACTGACACTTTGTAGAACAAAGTATGAGTTTCCTTGGGCTCAGGCTGCAGAGGACCAACAGCACAAAACCAAGTGCCTTGAGCTAGGCCATGGGGTTTAGTAATGCACAAACTAAGCTAAAGCACGGGATTTCTGAACTCTTACTGTCCAACAGCATAGTTCCTTCAAATTTAAGTGATAATTTCTCATGTATGTGAACCTAAATGAATTATATCTGTCAAGAAAGATGAGGCCTTCAGGATATCTGGCCCCAAGAGTCAAAAATTTCCTAACCATCAGTATTCAAGAGTTTTTATTTCCAGTCCTTGAAGGCCATGAGACACTGAATTTTGAAACTATGTCATTGTTACAGTTTTTCTACCTTTCATTTTTTGTAAGTGCTAGAACTGAAGATCAAAATTTCCAAACTCAAGCACTTAAAATCAGGACCTGAATCTGTGTCCCAATAATGGTCCTTATTCTCTTAATGCTGAGGACACTACATTGATAGTAACAGCTGAAATATATTTGAATAATAAAAAGGTTTTTTGTAGAAGACTAAATTTTAGCCTTCTGAATTTGAAAAAGATTACTTTGGTTTTGCTACCCTGTTGTGAAGTTTCTTCTTACCACTGGATCCTGGGATAGCAATATTCCCAAAACAGCTCAAATCTGGAGTGTTATTTCTAGTGCACATGGTGCTGCTTTTTACTCTTCTAATTTCATGTTTGCCCACATTTCTTCAGATGTGTTTTGTCTACTTTAAGTTTATATACCTTAAAACCTTTCTGTTTTCCTTTAAAGAAAGCTGAGCAGATTAATTTTCCTCCACTGACATCTCTATCACAGTCTTCACAAGTATCTTGTCTAGTTGGATGTCTAGAAACGGGCACATCCTTTGAAAAAAAAAACCTACTTGCCAGTTCTGCCTCTGTTCAAAACTGAATGACAGTGAGAGGCAGAACGGTTTATTTTGTATTTATCTTTACCTTATCTAAAAGACAATACACTAAGGATTTAGGAGAACAGAATGAAACTTGGCACCCAGCAAGGGCCATTTTGGTTCTGAGTCTGACTTCTTTTGCTGCCCAGCAGAGACACTGGACGAGCTTCTCTCATTCTTCCATTCACAAAACAGACAAAAATTAAAATATTCACTTGACTGGCTCAGAGGTGCTGATGAATTAGCTACTGTCTATACTTGGCTTTAAACAGGAAAAACAGTGGTTTTGTTAATGCTGAAGAAAATCTCCTCAAAATCTCTAAGCGTGTTTCACTCAGCATCTACTCACCCACTGCGAGTGACCAGACACTGCCGGAGTCCGAGTTTACGGAAAATATCCACCACAGTTTCCATTGGCGTGTGGTCAGTGACAGTGAAAGGGCTCAGGTTGAGAATACGCCGCAGCTTCAGTGGATGAGGACTGTTGGGTGGCAATTCCGGGGGGTCTTCAGTGAAATACACGATGGAGTTGCTCACCACCCCATCCTGACGTTGTCTTGCATTCTCTGTACAACAGAAAGATCGAGGCAGATGGTGACTTAGACTTGGTAACAACACACAAAAAAATTATCCTCCTTTGGAAACCGAAGGTAGTAGTAGCTTTTTGTCTTTAAGGTACTGAGGTCCTGGAAGTTGGGGTTACAGAGCAGACTTGAATTTCCTTGAAACTGTTCTCTTAAAGCAAATGCAAGTGATATTTTTACAAACACACACTTTTGCTTGGTTAGGATAATGCTTTTCTGAATAAATATGCAACTCGTTGCATTTGCAAACATCACTAATCCAGTTTCTGACAAATTCAAATGATTATATGTCATTTCCTCCACTGTAAGAATCACAACAGAAACTACTATTATATGCCCAAAGGAGTGGAATCAACAGCCTGTGTATGGTCTCAGATGGCTTGGAGCAGTATGTTTGTTCCTAGACTTCTTAGTGGAGTGGGGGAAGTCTGGGCATGGTGAATGGATTTATGAACACAAAGCTAAAGACAAATCCACATCCCAGGGATCCCAGGGTGCGGGTATTGTTCTAGACCAGCACAACTCTGGCATGCAGGGTGAATTTTGTGGTTTTGTACTTAATGCCTCAAATAGAGTTTGCATATCTAGATTTTAAAAGAGAAAAAAAAAATTAGCATACTACTTAAAGGAAAATAGTAAAGGGAGGAAAAATATATAGCAGTAAATGAGCTGAGTACATTTTTCTCAGCAGTACATATTTGACCACTTTCAAAAGTTCAAAAGCTATCTTTCATAGTTTGATCAAAGTGAAGTGAACTTTACACTACATCTGGAATTTACTTGATCAGTATAAGCCTTTTACTTTAAAGTATACTCCAACAAGAATTCTTAGCACTGAAGGGGTTTATTTACTTTGTAGTGTTTACCTCATTTCTACTCAACACTATAGGGCATGACCAATATATGAGATGGATTTCCAAATGATAGACAACTTCTCTCTCCCCAGAAGAAGCATAGCATGTGTTTGGCTCTGAGGGTTTAACTCTTTCTCTTTTTTTGTATAAAGTCTTGTAAATGGCTGGAATTATTATCTTTGATTATTATAGGTTGCTTCTGTTCTTGAGAGGTACAGCAAATCAGATATACTCAAAGAGTATGTATATATTCTTGGAGCTCATTGCCATAAATCAAAGTACAGAAACCTGCTCCTGTGACTTGTAATGTGTAGACAGTAATGGTTTCCAACATGTTCCAGCTGTATTTTTTCCCCTTTAATTATCATTGTCTTGTAATATTTCTGGAACTGGAGCAGTGCTGGCTCAAACCTAATATCAGTACAGTATATGATTTTCAACCTTCTCACACCACATATTACAAGCCCTATTGCAATTTATAGGAATGATGCTTAACTTTGTCTCATGCTGTTTTGATTCATACATCTAATTTCAAATATGAACGTGCCTGCATAGCTCTTTGATATATGATCTGTGGTAAGAGGTAACATTAATCAAACTGAAGGTAACTCCCACCCTTTGATAAAAACCCTTGACAGCTAGGTATTTCCTTCCCGAAGCTGCACCCAAAGCTATACGCCCAAGCATTTCAGTTACCACATTGCTGTTCCCAAGGCAGCAATGACCCTGGACAACAGCGATTAGCCAAAGCCATGACTTCACTGTTCAAAATCAAACATCTCTCTTGAGAAATTTGAACAATGTAGGGGCAAATTCAGTGGCATCAGAAAAATGATGGACTTTGTATGCGATCTCACTGGATGGAGGAGTTAGAGGAAAGGTAAAACAGAAGAACAGATCATTTTTGCAGTCAGTAGGTAAGAAAAACAGATATAGCTTAAAGGAAAGAGCAAAACAAATGGATGACAATGTCTGGTTGTACAGAGTAATCTGTGCAGAAGGCTCTTGCTATAGCTAGAGAGTGAATTAGTTCTTTCAAATGTGAAATGGCCTCTCATATTCAGGAGTTCACAGTTCACAGCCTGTATTAACTATGTTGCACTCAACTCCATACTAGGAAAAGTATATTATACAGCCCACCTGGCTTGTGTCCCAGACTCTGCCTTTTGTACAATGACTCTGAAGCTGGCCAAATTTAAGAAGAGCTTTACAGGGCCAAATACTCCCCTCCATAAGATGGTAAAGTAGGTACCATCTAAAATGTAGACAGCTATTCCCAGAGGGTGACTCTGCCCATCTGACCTGTCTACCTGCTAACAAGGACCAGTGGAAGGACGCAATCTTCCTAAAGGTGCTTCTGAGCAATTGGAAGTGCCATTGACATTCACTTTACAGGGACTGTTTGCATTTCTAGAGGGTGCTTAATGCTCCTCTTAATAAGAAAGAAATTATGTAGGGGTAAATCACGAGGCAGAGAGCTGGGTGTGAACAAATATTTGATGCGGGACTCAACAGCTATTGCCTTCATCCAAGAAGCCAGTTGTGTGAGGGAATTGGCGTACTTACCTGAGCCACCACATCGCTGATGCACAATTTATTGGGCCACAGAAAGAAGCTGAAGCTTCTTGGTTGAAAGCACATCCCTACATAGTGCAATATATTCTCATATAGAGGCAGCAAAGCTAGTTCAAACTGATGAGGCATTCTGCAGGGCACAATACAGTGAAAGAAGAGATACTTGTGTAGGCCTGACTCTGCTTTTCAAAAGATCTTTCCCTGGCTACAGTGAAAGCTATACGATGGGGCTTACACTGTTCCTAGACCTAAATCCAGTATCTCTGGATGCTGTCAGGCTGAGCAGGAGATAAGAACCTAAACAGGAGAATAAAATATGCTTCACCACATGTGATGTTTACCTCTTGGAAAGTAATTTTATAGTTTAAGGAGACTTAGTGTATGGCTCCATGAAAACAACTGTGAAGCAAGCTGAGGTTTGCAACACATTAGCTACTCTGTGGTAATGATGAGCAGTGACTTCTGCAATAAATGCAAGCAGCTTTGGCCTTCAGTGAAGGAGGATCAGCTACCAAAAAGTTGCTAGAATGGTACAAAAACAGTGTTTTGCCCTGCCCTGTACTGGAACCATATAATATGTCTTTGGGAAAAGTGAAACTAAATCCAGATTTTAAGTCACAAAGACACAAACCGTACTGGAAATATTGACCATTTATCTCAGAGCCAGCACAAAACAACATGAGGACCCGGTATACTTAACCCCAGAGAAGAAGGGTCACCAAAGGTCCCTGATAGTTGATATTAGGAAAACTTGTCTATGCAGAGAGGTTTTTCATTTTAAATAAAAAAATTTCAGATCCTGTGAAAGATGCTCTTAATTTGAGCTGATCAGGAAACAGTGTCTTTTCCTCTGGAAAATGTGGATGTCAAAGAAATAGCTTTTGAACAGGGAAGCATCTTGATCTAAAATATTTGCTGAATTTATTTTTAACTGATTTCTTTGTTATCAGTGCATAGCTGGACATCTTCACACATCCTCTAACAAGTCCATTCAGCCACATTGCCATTTATGACCGAATCAAAAGACTCAGTTCCTCAGACTTCTCTGACTCACTTCAGACAGCATCTGATCTTTCTGCTTTTAAAGTGAGGGCTCTGCACCTTCACTCCATGCAATTTTCCCACTGACATACCTCCCTGCAAAGGAGACTCAAAAGGCTATGAAGTTAGGATGGCAGCAAGTGTTACAGCCACAACATGGCATAGACAGTGTAAAAGCCAGACACGAGGTAGGCTAAATCCATCTAGTTAAGGTTTTTTACTTCTCACGGGGAAATGCAGAAGACATTTGAAAAGCATTAGCAAAAGCGGGATAAAATGCAAAATGGTATCAGCTCTTGACATTTACACATTTGGTGACACTTCAGACATGTATTTACTTTCCTAGCTTTGCCATACAAGGCATCTTTTGTTACTAGCAAAGGAAGATTAGCCCTCTGAGAAAATCAGTTGCTTGAAAGGGGCATTGCAGCTAGTAGTCTTGGGCTTCATCTTGGTGTTTTTAAAATCCTCTTATACTGAGATTGGTATATAGAGGATTATAATGTCATGGAGACTTTTTTTGCTTGTTTTTGGGGGAAGGAGCAACCAGTGATAGTCAGCTTTTAATGAAAAAGTTAGATTCCCACACTCCTTGAAAGTTAAATTACAATTGTACAATTAGAGGAGCTGTAGAACTGGCCTGTTCTGATATCCCGTGTTTTGAGAAAGTAGTGATATAACTAAATGCAAAATGAATTCAGTTCATAAACTATTTTCTCTAACTGAAATGGCAACTTACACCACAGAGGGGAAAAAATTAGAAAATAATTTCTTACTGAAGAGAATTCTGCACTACATTTTAAGGGGTGAAAACTGGGCTCTGTCATTTCTTTTCTTCTTCTTCTGCATGTAGTATTGATGCAGCATTGGTGACTTTCTGCTACGGGATGAGAAGAAGGGAATCAAGTAACAGCTGAGTGTCCTTAAATAAATGAATATATATTTTAGAGCTAATTACTTAGACAGAGTCTTTTTGCATCCAGGAGAGGAAAATAAATATGCATTAAAAAAAAACATATGTTTTAAAGAGCATTGTTACTTCAAATTTCATTTTAGCTTTGTGAGAAGTGAGCAGGAAAGTGCCCTCTAAAATAGCCCTGATTTTCCATTAATGGATTTTCTTTTCTGAAGAATATGAGAGTTTCCATCTGAGACAACAGCTTTTTAAAGGTGTCTGAAGCAGAGAGATGAAATAGGCCCATGCAGAGAGGAATAATTCCATGTGAAGGAGATTTGGATATGCCAGACATGCCACTCCCCTGAAAAGTATAAGGCAACATGCCCAGCCAGCAGCCTGCCTGCCTGCCTGCCCAGCTGGCCCTCAGCACCACAGGACTGCCAGAATTGGGAGCGGACCGTGGGGCTGATTTGCCAGGCTCACAGAACTCTGAAGTTCTGGATGCTCTGGGCATGGGGAAGGTGGGAACAGTTGCTTTCATCCAATGTACCCATCTTTTCAATCACCACCTAGCTGTCAGACCAACCAGGAAAGGACCTGGTGGGTCAAAACCTGTAATGACCTGGATCAGGCTCTCCAGCACCCAACCAGCTATCCACTGGATGCTTGACAAAACTCAGCTATCCTTACCAAACAACAACCTCCACTGAAAAGCTTTCCACCCCTAGTGCAAAAGGCCTTCATGTGAGAAAAATGGAGACAGTGCAACAGAAAAAAGCACAGGGACTTGCACTTCATCACAGGGTGACAAAGGTTCATGACTGCCCCAGCTGCTACCAGCAGCCCAGGTATACTACACTTGCTCTGCACTGCAGTGGCTTTTCATCTGGTTCCGACAAAACTTCTGGCCATATGAGTCGTGTTTATTTCTGTTGTCTCTAGCAGAATTATATTATACTGTTGTGAGTGATGACAAAATTAAGCCCAGAAAAGTCAAGCCGCAGAAGTCCACCAGGTGGTATGCTACAATAGAAAAGCTTCCAGCTATGGGTCCTAGGAACCAGTAAAAGCCAGACTTGGGCAAACAGTTAGGTTTGGTTCTTATTTATCCATTCTTCAGGGTGAATAACACTGGTAACATCCTAGCCTATCAATATTCTTATCAAAATCAAACTTATGTATACTACTCACTTATTGCAAGAATGAGCTCTCTTCTCTGTGCAAATCCAATAAGTCTCTCAGAGTCTTTTGAAACCACTACTGGAAAGCCATTGTAGTCAGTCTCCTTGATTAATGTCTCAACATCCTCCACCGTCATGCTGTCTTGTGTCAGAACAGAGAGAGGAGCTTCACCACGCCTTGGTCTCATGACATCAGTTGCCAGGGTTCTGTGGGTGAATTCATCCTTCACATCCAGAAATGGGTAACCATTCAGGTGAATGTGAGCTTCATAGATCCCTTCTTTCCCAAAGGCATCTGCCACCCACTTGCTTGTGACAGCTGCAGCCATAAGAGGTACGATGTACTCCAGGCCTCCAGTTAGCTCAAACATAATCACCACCAGAGAGACGGTCATTCGGGTGACACCACCTGCCAACAAGGAAAGCAGTCAAGTTTCCCTCAGTGCTCTTGAACTATACATACTAAGCAACTCATTTATATTTTTAAGTCTTAGACTCAAAAAGGCATAAAATTATTCATGCTGAGTACTTTTCCCTTATACTTTGTGAAGTAGTTTGGGGCTTATTTAACCGAAGAAAGTGATTTTTCATCTACTACAATTTTCAACAAAAAGATTGAGTGAACTTGCTCAAGCCAAAGATGCTAACATTGAAAAGCAAATACCAAATGCTAAAAGACTGAGCTATCAAACCAGAAAGCATGCCAAAAGAACAGCTATACTGGATGCTTGAGAAACTAAAACTGAACCCTGCCACTAGCCCTCTAAAATGACTCCAAGAATCGGCTAAGTACCATGGCTGGGGCAGGTAGGAGCATTGAGAACTGGCCTTTGCATTGGTTTACCAATCGCATTAATACTGAAGAGAAAGCTAAGCATTATTTTGGGGCATGACATGGTTAGAAAATCCTTTGTAAGGACAGTTGAGGGCCACTGCAAGAGCTACGTTAAAGCTTGAAGCCTCGCTTTTGATATCAGTGTAACATACAGCTTGAACTGTATGCGACTTGGTTTGAGGCCATCTAGGCCTGCAGCCGTAGACAACGCTCCAGCTGTATTTTTCAAACTAGTCTTTCTGTATTAATTTCATAAGCAAGCTCCTTCAATTTACATTAAAGGATAAAAATGATCACATGACTGCAGACAAGTATGTATGTATCACTGAATTATTAGGTAACATTTCTTTGCCTCTGTTCAAAAGGTAAAGGTAATAAATCTGCTATTTTTAGGCCTCAATAAACAGCACATTTTAGTCGAGAGAAATCAGAAACAGGTCATTAAAAGATGCTTTTAATCTAGCAACATACAGGAAAATTCAATTGTTGATTATTTAACACAATGTTCCAGACTTTCATCTGAGGAATGCCTTAAACTTCTGACTCTGAAAAGCTGAGAGTAGATACCAGAGAAAGGATCATTTAATATTTACTCTATATCTCTTACTCTAAGTGAGACAGGTCTTGGGCTAGAGTTAGCAGTGACTGTTCTGCTGTGTGCCTCACCATACCATTAAAATCGCTGCACCTTGATCCGGACTTTTTAAAAGAGGAAGTGATTGCAGACGAGCAGATCAACTGGAATATCAGAGCAAAATTTTTGTTTATCATTTCTTTTATGAACATTAAGATAAATTATGGATAAGAGGAAGTGCTTCACTCTTTTTGACAGTAAGATTCAACCTAGCTATTTTAATGTGTCTACAGTGCTGTAGGTGTTCACATCCAAAGGGGTGATCCAGATAGCTTTATAATCTCTGGAGAAAAACAGGCACTTTTGAGGAAGAAATCATCTGCTTATTTGCCTGCTTTAAAATTCTTACAGCCAGATGAGACTGATCTTTCCAGCATCTCATTTTTCTGTTTTGACTGTGAAGGGTGTCAACATAGCAAGCTCAGATGTTGATGTCTACATTACAGACATTCAATTTAGGCAAGCAAATCCTACCCTTACTTCCTCTATAACTGGTCGCACAAATGATCCTACTTTTCTAACATGAGACTCCAAACATGAAACTTTTCCAGCTCTTCCCTGAGTATGTCTTTCATTTCAAATCTGCCCAATTACATTAATCATGTGTTATGCCTCCCCACTATTATTTAATCATCTAATGACGGTATCAACAGCAACAACAAAAGGAGGTAGAACATACAAGTACAGAAGGGGAAAGATATAATCAGGCAAAAATGAATTCAGATGGTATACTTCTAACATTCCTGTTGCATCTATGACTAGAAATTTGATATGTGAGGTATTATTCAATGATCTTGCTTTAATAGTTAACAGATCATTCCTGTTATATCCAATAAATCCTATTGATTGAATGTAATCAGATATTGGTCTATGGTCAAAACAAAACCCAAAAGACAGCCCAGTTGAGCATAGTCTGACACACAGCCAAAATAAGACCTAGAATTTTTACCTCTGTGTAGCTTAAAATTTTGACAGTACTAAGAGGTTTCTTCCCTGCATTGATAGAGAGCAGAGTCTAAACAAGGTCGTAGTGTTAGTCCAGCTACAGTGGATTTCATTACATCAAAAGGGAAAGAAATGAAGAAAAAAAAAAAATCATGGTAATCTGTAGCTCAACTTTATTTTTTCTTTCCTTCTGTGTGCTTTTTGGCTGATTATAAGGAGAAGGCATTGGTGACTGCAAGCCTCTCTCTTATTGGCTACCTGACAGATCATTGGAAGGACCATTTGAGGAAGCTGCCCATGCTTTAGCCCATCTCATCCATTAGGTCCAGAAATGCCAGCATAGCACCTCACACAAAGCTTCATAAACAATTTGTAGGTCCACAAACATCAATGTTATCCATGCACAAAGCGTGATCAGCAGATACTGTACCCAAGCAAGCTGCCGCTCCCACCATAGCATAAAGTCCTGGTGTGACACAGTCTGCCCCAGGTCTGCACCAGTTCTTGAAGATGATCCAGTCATGATGGTGATATGCCAGTTGCTCTACTCCAATCCCAACCATCCTGCCAGCCATGGCTCCAACAGCCATACTGGGAATGAAAAGACCTGAAGGGATCTTGAATAAAATATAGACACATAAACACCTTGACAAAAATGACTAGTAATTAACTTATTGATCAAACTATTTATTATCAGTAGTAAGAGAACCCAGTTTTCTTATTAAATGTTAGCTCAGAAGGCCGTAGCCTTTTGGCAGCCTACAATGATGTTCACTGTAGTCTGAGGTAGGTTTCTGCAGTGACCAAGTTTGTGTGGCTACATGTGTATTCATAGCTTAGTAAAATTTTAACGGATTTTTTTAAAGTTATTTTGAAGCCTATCTCCTGCATCATACAGAAATTGATAGATTAATGGTGTTTCTCAATAATAGTCTGCTTTTAAAGTCAAGATGCTCCTGGTTTTGCCTTTATTGCTTT